GTTTGAGTGAGTGGATTTGATGATATATCATCTCTTTTTTCCGTAATTCACTTTCAAGCTAATTCCCTTATCTTTGTTTTTTAATCATTTCACTCCAAGCAAGGCGATAAATCCACTAAAATGCAAGACTTTACTAAGAGTAACCGAAAGTGAGTAAACATTATTTAGGAGAAGGGATATTAAAAGACCAGGATTGAAATTCGACCTTCAAGAAGTGCGAGAGAAGAGATATTTAGCAGAAACCTTACGCATCAACTTAGCAATTACAACAGTAAAAAGATGAAACCTAACTGCCAATCTAGTCTAACAATCGTGAAGTCGAAATAGCAGGAGTTTATCATCACTAGTGTATTTATAGAAAACATCAGTTAACTATGTTACAGCGGCGGGGAAATGAATTAAGCCGTGATGCCAGGCCAGGGACATTATTATTGCGTTATGTGCATTATAATCTTTCTTCTTTTTGTGACGTACAGTAGCTATAAATAATGAAGTATAACTTACGACTTTAATGTTAAGATAAAACTGTATTTAATTACAAGCGCAAATAAATACTTAACAAGAATATAGAAGTAAAAGTCAACCAAGGATAATTAATCATTTCAATGAATACCTTGTTAATAGCGCAGCTTGGCTTAACGCCCTTTAATCCTAAATCAAAACCAAATACTTGACGCACACTAATTCGACTGGATAGTTCCAATGAAAAATCATTCAATAGTTATTCAATAATCACTCCAGTCAGTAGCCTGACATCGGTATTTATACACCTCGCGGAAAACATAAGACAAGAGTGGGAGGTTCGAACTTCGGTGTCGGTAGTTACTCATTTTCTTCCTATATGACACTTCTAAATTTCAGTTGTCTATCATACAGGACGTAGGCGATTATGACTCTCCACAACTTCGTTGTTCTTAATATTTTTTGTGTATTATTTCAGTTATTTCTCCTAAACTCTGTTTTGCCATTCATTTACTCACGCTTACAAAGTATGATATGCGTTATTTTCCTCCGTCTCAGTTGCCTTCAATCTGTCCTGGGAGCATCAGATTCGCCAAACCCTCCTTCCTCATCATTTTCTTCGAATACCTCAACTGTCTCTTTCTGATGTTATTTATAAGTTTCCTTTTTGTTTCTATTTTCTTTAAAACTTCGTCGTTGTTCCCATGTTCGGTTTATGGTATCCCCAGCGTCCGATCCTGGAACTATATTTCTCTTGCTTCAAGTTTTTCTTCGTCTTTGAGGAGATTGTCTAGCACGTACTGTCGTACAAGAGGAAAGATACCACGTAGCAGTTCAGTTCTGTTTTCCGTGTTTCTATCGAGATTTTTTTTTTCTATTTTTAGATCTTCGGATCTCGGTGCCACACTTTCTGTCCTCCGTTAACCAGGCTTTTGGAAACCTAGGTTTTGCACTTTGAAACTTAACAAAGCGCTAACTACGGGAGTAATCGTTGAGTCATATGCAAAATAAAAGTGAACATAGAAGCTCTTCCTGTACTGTTTACTATTTATTTCTGCTAAATCTCCTACAGTTAATAGGGATTGCAACAGAACCGTTGGATTACCAACCGACTTGACTGTGTTCACATCCATTGTTTGAACTCCGGGAAAAATTCAACTGGAATGAAGGCAAAGGAGAGTATTTTTTCGCCCTGTATGAAGGAAATCAAAGACATATCCGTTACATTTATACTTTCATGACAAGTATATTTAGAGAGTGAGATTGCTTTTTGAAAGATTGTTGGTAGGTTGTTTTATTTTATAGCATATCAACCTCAGTGGGTCATTTAATGCCAAATTTTTTTTTAAATAGATTCATAGCGATAGTATGGTAAAAAAAGGTGTGTATGTATACATATATATATTTGAACCATTTTTCAATTACTCATATTTTTGAATACAATCCAATTTCTTTTACGAAATTTACAATCTTGGATGGTTTTATTTTCGTAAAAAGTTTTTTTTCTTTAAATTACCCATTTCGTAATATTTTGTTCGCACTAGATCAAAATCTACACATTCTAACAGTATATGTTTCACTGTAAATTTCTCTTGGCATGTAGTGCATATTGGGGATTCTGTGCCCTCAAGTAAATAATGGTGGGTGATGTAGGTGTGGCCTATGTGAAGGCGAGTCAGCACGACCTGTTCTCTTCTATTTTCATATTCTGAGTTCCATTCTCCAATAGCTGGTTTAATGTTTTGGAGTTTGTTATTAATGAATGTATTCCAATGATGTTGCCATTTTTAATGATAATTTTCTTTACATATAATCGAAGTATGGTCCCTTTGTGTTTGTTATTGCATCCTTCATGGCTTTTTTTGCCTCCGAATCCGTCCTGACGTTTCCCCGTATCCCAAGGTGGCTTGGGATCCAACAAAAGATTATTTCTTTATTTATAGACAAGTGGTGCATTCTGTTTAGGACTTCTGTGGTTAAAGGGTCAGTAACATTTTTATTTTTTAAAGCAGTAAGTGCAGATAAAGCACCTTTGAAAACTATGAGGTATTTTAAGAAGGCTCAACTTCTGCTCCCATGCTGCAGACAAACACATCAGATGTCGTAGGCCAGAATAAAATAGGAAGTATTATTTTCAGAGGAAGTTACGAACAAAAGGATCCTAAACAATGCTGACACTGCAATACGACACACTCCACAGTGATTATATTTGCCAACAGATACACAATCACCAGAGACTATAAGAGAAATTTGGTAAGGCAGTACAAGACCTTCTTGAGCTCCCTAGGCAGGAAAAGATTTTTTTTTTTCAAAATTTAATGATTTGATGCCCAGTAAATATACATGTAAACTCTCATAAATGCTTTATTTCAATGCTTAGATATAACATAATGCAACAAACATATTCAGTTAATGAAGAATCATAAATGAATATTTAGGGTTGCTTTCACCAATCGCCATTTAGCTTTTGTCATAGGGAAATCCTTTTTAAACGTTCATAATTTCTTTTAAAGGAAAATCCTTTTTTGATTTTTTTGTTTGCAAAATTTCTAATATCACTATGAAAATCAGTTATTGTTTGGCAATACCAAATTCAATACTCACTCTTGCTAGATCAGCAAGTCCGGTTTGAGATATAGTAGACCTCAAATAGTTTTTGATAAGTTTAAATTTAGTAAACTTGTTCTCGAAGGGAGGTGAGCATTTTATGATTGCTTTAGGGCGTTTTTTAGTTCTTGGTCCCCGGAACAAAGTACTGGCTGGACTTTCTTCTCACAGGCCCTGAGATTTAGTGTTAAGAACGAATATCAAACTGTGGAAGAGACCAGGGACTCAGAGAGGATCACATGGCGGCAAACACTTGTGACAACAGCAAAATAAAAGAAAATAATACTGCAAGTAGAACTGAAAAAAGTTGATAAAAAGTGGAATGTGTAGATAGCAAAATGATTATGGCCTGTACAACACTATCAAAAATAAATACCATTTTGAAGTCAAACATTAAAAAGAGATTGAAAATGCAGCATTTAGTTCAACAGTGGAAACAGTACTCTTTTACAGATCAAGCTGTTGAACATCATCAAAATCTCTGGCAAAAATCAAGACGGTACGTATACTCGACTATGAAATCACTGAAAGTGAAATCGGTGATCCGAGTTCAAACACGTTGATTGTTTTCCTTTTCGCTCAGTTGAACTTAAGAAAGGTACCAATCCGTCTCTTTCTCCGCAGGTATGGGTTATTCAGGCTCACTTGCCTTGGAGTAGCTACCTGTTTAGGAGAAGTATGACTCTGAAATCATAACCTGTCTGAAGTGTGATGGTATCCGTCAGGTTACCTTGCCTTCGTCCAACCCACTGTTGCTGCGGCTACAGTATGATGAACAGTATGGTATCCTAACAGCTCACGTAACACTGGCATGTGTCCGGACTTACTTTGCTACACGACATCACGTGTCAGTTAAGAATTTTCAATCGGTTCTTGTTCGGTTTAGGACCTTGTATTTAAGACTTTCTCTGATTGAACAAGGGACTTAACTTATGACACAGACAGGTAACATGCTTAGTTTTACAAATGGATAATGTAAACTGAACATCTTAAAACCAATTCTTTTCTTTCTTTTTTTCATGAAAATTAAGCATTTACCTTCCGGCGCCATTTTTTTATAATATGTGCACGATGTTGTACCATGAACAAGTTCCCAACGGAATAAAAAATAAATAGATAAATAAAAAAAAAGAAGAAATGCAGATCAGTAACCAGTTTTTATCGTCGATAACGTTTTAAGGATGATTTGCACAGAATATTTAAAGAAGAATTCAATTAAAAATATGACGCCTTTGAATTTGAGAACGGTTTGATCATCAGTCAGTCAGTGTTTACAGAGTGCTATATCCTTATCACTCATAATCGAAAGATTCATTTTGTTTTTTATCGTGAGATATCCTTATAAGGCATTTAGTTGTAAATAAGTTCAAGATCGCTTTTTATTGAATTCTTAATATTGTCATATGATAATATTATTAAAATTATGGCATTTTTTGTTTTTGGTTCTAACATTAATGGTAATGAAAATATTAGTCGTTTACTTACATGGAATTATTCGGTAGCCATTCACCGAACAGCCAGTGCTATTCTAGTTTGGAATTTTAAAAATCTATGTAATCAGAAATCTCTTGTCGCTCTTCCTAGCATTGATGGGAGCTTCCTTGCTAATGCTTTGTTTGAAATAGTGTGGAGAGTCAAAATCTTGATTGTCATTACTTTCTCTTCGAGTTAAATATGATATCTATTTTACTGTTAAAAGTTTTCAAGTGACGTAGTTTCTATGATTTGCTATATTGCTTTGTTTGTTATGTGCCAGTCCAAGAGGTTCGAAGAAGTATGGTCCACTCTAAAACCTAGAACGCTTATTCACTTGAAGCCGTTTATACAATGATCTGGGAAATAACGAGTTTGACGCCACGCAAAATATCCATACGAGAGTCAGGATTTGGCCTGGCTTTATTTAAAAACTTAAGCAACATTCCCTGGTATACTTTGTCCAACTTCGTGAAAATGTGGTCCAGCAGACGACTCCGCGTTTCCGCCCGTGTGCGTCGAAGCGAGTACCCGAGTTCACTCGGTCTGATCGAATTCGTGACTTGCGGTCTGCCCGCCCGCGGGGATCACAGGTCGTAGTTCGCGCTCGACCGTTCACGCGCAAGTGAAGAACAGCCGAGTGCACTTAGTTTGTCCAAATTTGCGAAAATCTATTTCATCGTCGTCACGTACGCAGACAAATGCGCGTTGCGCAGCATCGCCACGTGGGATGCCTGGTCGTGATGCGCGCTCAACCGGACGACTACGCTGAGTCGTCGGCTGACTGCACGTAAGCGAGGAACAATCAAGTTCACTTGTATTTTTATAAGGATACACTAGGACTTGAACGAAGAGTATGGGGAAGGTTGCGTGAACAATTGTATATCGGCACGACAAGCTGAGTTCAAATTCCAGCCTAGTTTGTTGCATTCAATTTCGTACGAAATGCCTTTCAGAAAGACATGAACACATCTACATACATATATAAGTAAAATGGCCGCGTAGATTGGCGTTACTAATTTTGTGTAGTACTCAATCTCTCTCTCTCTCTCTCTATATATATATATATATATTTATTCATATATATATATTATAGGAAAAAATAATGTTTTATTAACTTTTAGAAAGAATCTCTATGTATAAAAGTACAAATTTAACGAATAAAATGCCAGAAAACTTTTGCCGTAAAAACAGACGACATGCGTTGAACGGATGTCAAAAATTCGTGGGCACCTCTACCCTACCTAGACTTAACCTTTTTCGAATGTAACTCATAATTGATACAATAATAGTTAATAAAAAAGAACACGCTACCGCCCCTGTCTAAATTACTCTGTATCCATGGAAACAAAAAATCATGAATGTATATGCTATCAAAACACAGTAAATTTCAAAATAAGTTATTCCAAAATTCGCTTGAAGATGAAACCGAACTAATATTTTGATTTAATTATATAATTGAATTTGAAGTTTTAGTTTCTGCTTTTGAAACATTGTAATTCCTATGGAGCCATGAAACCATTTTTTGAAATCAGTTAATATATATATATATATATATATATATATATATATATATATATGTGTGTGTGTGTGTGTGTATGCTCATATGCGTCCTCCTCAAAAAAAGCGAATATTTATACATTTCTATGCCAGGAGATAAGTATTTACCTTGAGTCGTAAAATAGTTATCGTCAAAGGACCCAATTCCGAAAATAAAACCAAATGTGTCAACAGAATTCATTAGAATCCTTCTTGGCTGAGACTAGAGAAGACATCATATAAGTATAGATAAATATACAGCCATGCCGCTTTTCTTTAGCAATATGCAAATGCACCCCCCACATATATATATATATATATATATATATATATATATATATATATATATATATATATATACATACACCGCAGGAAAGTTGGCTCCCTGTGCCGCGCCAGGAAATTTTTCTCCAGAGTCGATCCTCTAGATCTACAAATCCACAATTCGCCCTTGCATGGAGTATTGCTGCCATATATGGTCTGGAGAACCTTCTGTTTGCCTCGTGGTTCTTGATAAGATCCAGAGGCGGATATGCAATATAATTGGCCCTGTTCTGACATCTCGTCTACAGTCACTTTCTCACAGACGCGCCGTCGCCTCTCTCTGTCTGTTTTACAAATACTTCCTTGGCAATTACTCCCAGGAGCTGCAATCGCTGGTTCCCAGACTTCATGAATTCAAGCGCCCTACGAGGCTGGCATCCCGCTCTCACCCTTTCACTGCCGAAACTACTAAATGTAGCCGTCTCTTCTACTCCAGTAGATTCATGTCTCGCACCTCTCACCTGTGGAACTCCCTTCCCTATTCCAGTTTCCCTGAGAGCTATAATCCCCAAATATTCAAATGTAATGTCAATCGACATCTCCAGTTGCCTTGATCTATCCACTATCCTTCTCTTCATCTTTTTCTCTATCACTCCTATCTGATCTTGCTCCAAATCTTCTGTAATCCCCTTTACGTCTTAGTGGCTTCCCGCCTTGCTTGGGTGAAACGTTTAATATATATATATATATATATATATATATATATATATATATATATATATATATATGTATATAAAAAAAAAAAGAACAGTAAGATATATAATCCGGTGTTCTTATAGGTATTCGCTTGAGGATGAAATGGAACTAATGTCTTTAATTTAACTGCAAAATTAAATTCGTGGCTTTTAGCTTCCATTTTTGAAACATGGTTAGAACTGTAGCGGAAAAAGCATATTTTAAAACCATATTTTAAAATCAATATAATTTTATATATATATATATATATATATATATATATATTACTCCAGATGTTTAATTAAATTAATTATCTATTACAATAAATTTAAAATCATTTTCATACAGGGTGTTCCAAAAGTCACGTGACACTCGGCAGAAAACATACACTTGTACAATAACAAAAACATTGCATGATATCATCTTTCATAATTCGATTAATATAATTTCTTAATATATTGTCACATACAGAAACATGATTCCATTTGATAAATGCGTATAAAATTTACAAGGTTATAAATAGTAATTTTTGGAACACCCTGTGCTTTGAAGTAAACACCGGGGAGAAGTCTTTGGGAAAATGCCCCTTTCTCTTCCCAAAGGATATCTTTTCACAATTCTCAGATAATAAAGACATTAGCACAAAACAATGATATCCTACATCCTGAAGGGTTATCGAATTAAAAACATATCTGAATTATCGTACATGTCATAAGAGATTAGAGAATTATCGTTGTGGAGATTTCTCTTGGAATGTTATTGTGGTGTAGAATGAGATTATTGTGCAAACAGAATGATTGATTTGAATATACATATATATATATATATATATATATATATATATATATATATATATATATGTAACATGCCTGGCCGCATACACAATTCCGGAAAATCCTTTGGGAAAACAAAACTAAAAACTTAAACATGAAAACAATAAACAAAAACTGAAAATTCTTGAAGCTATATACATAAAACAGTTGAAACCAAACCTGAACAAAATAAACTAAGAAAACACCACAAATATACTCAAATACCTGTAATTGATAACAGAAACCATTGGTTTATACCATCAGCTTCCCATATTCAACATTTCTCGTTTTAATTCTCGCGTGATCATGTGTGATGTCATGAGCCGCGGTGCGATTTTTGCTTCCAGAGTCTCGTATGCACGAGTTTGTCGTTGCTTGGAAATCTTCCATGCAAATAAACGCAGACTATCATTATTGACATGTTCGTGTATTGTTTAATATATTGTAATGTTATTGTCATCTTTGATGATGGCTTATGTAAGCCGAAAGCTTAGATAGGATTTAAAAACATGTATCAATATGGTGATTTTCTTTCGTCTTTCAATGATAATGTTCTTAAGCTTATCAGACGATATGAAAGCAATTTGCATAAAAATAAATCGACAAAACTTGTCTATATTATATAATGAAACATGCATCAATGTATATATATATATATATATATATATATATATATCAGACTCTATCTCTCTCTCATTCTTCTCTGTCTGTGTGCAATCGTCATTCAGATAGTGAACGATAAATGTTCTTTACAGTTTTCTGAAATTTGTTGCTTTCATCAGTACTTGCTTTTCATAAAACTTATTCTTGTATAACTTTGTCCTGGTTAAATGTCTTTTTTTCGGCCATGTTCATGGCCTCTTCGGATGTGTGGATGTTATACAGAATAACGGCTCCGTAAAAGAAATCAGTGAACAGGGAAAAATCCATTTCAGTTACTTACAAATAAATTACAATGGAAAATGTATGGATCCATCCCCTCATCTATGGTTTAAACAGTAGGACGCAAATTTGAAAAAAAAAAAAGAAAAGACAAATCATCGACTTTCTCGAAGAGAATAAAAAGATTATTCTTACAAACCAAAATATGTTTCGATTTTAAATAAGACAAAGGTTTGATAAGCCGTAAAAATAGAAATCAAAAACACCCCTTGACTACTTAGTTACTCTTCATTTCACTTTGTTTTTTCTTTCATTTCTTATTTTATGATTCAGTATTTCTGCCTGTTGTAACCTAGGGATGGTTGCTGAATAGAATAATCACACGAAGGTTGGTAATGAACCATAATACTTAGGACATGAACAACACATATAAGATTCGCCAGCGGCGCGTAGTAGTCGTCAACTGCTAGAAGTGAGTCAAGTGAATTCCACAATGAATCTTCAACTGCATAATATCTACCAATCGCCCCACGCAGTCAGATGTGGCACAAGGATGAATTTAATGTGGGATATCCGAGCCCGTAGGATCGACTGAAAATTCCTCGTAGACCCCGTATAAAACAGGGTCGAGTTTGACCAGCACAGATGGAGAGGAATCTCCAACTGCAGACCAACATACAGTATTTACGACTATATTTATGTGAACGGGGGCATACCTAGTTATGCTACAATATTGACTGTGTTGTAGTATTTTTATGAATATAAATCATTGATCCCTACTTATTTACATGCTTACTCGATCTTCCACTTCATAGTCGAGTTTATAATATCCGAAAAATTATGTTTTTCATTCATCTTAATTCCATGTAGGTTTATCACTCTTATTTCCGTGGTTTATGACTTGAAGCATCTTTATTAACTTTCTAATTCTCTTATCTGAATCTATACCGCGGCTCCCCAAACGTTTTTAATTGGCACCACGTCGACTAGAAGGCCCAATCTGTACCACCCCATCCTGCATTGATTTATGACTATTATACAAACTAAAAATTTCAAACAAGCAATCCAACATTTTAAACTAACGTGTACGTTTTACTTTTTCATAAATTCCATTAGATAAGTTGTCGCCAGACGCACATCCATAACTATATCGTTACAGCTATAAACCTAGAGCAATGCTCCATGCAGACACCGGCAGTCTGATCTCGCTGATGTGTGGCGCATTATGTCCAGATAATGTCTGCGTGATACAAAACAACATGCGTGTTGTGCAGAAGTAAGTGAACCACTAAGACATCCTGGGTATGACAATAATCTATATCCGCATCCTGGGTAAGACGATAAACAACGTCCGAGAGCAATGCCCCTGAGAAGGAGGATTTGAGGAACGTGGAACCACCTCTTAATTGCTGGTGTTCCTAGATCCACCCTGGCACCTTGGTAGTAGGACCTGTTAAGGTCCCAGGTATCGACGAATAGTTAACCCCTAAACTGGTGTCAAAACATAACGAAAGTGTAAAAATAAGTTTTAGTATCAGAAATACTATTTTGTAAAAAATATTACCAGAAATACATTATTACCAGCAATACATGCTTGAAAACATATTACCAGCAATACATTTTTGAAAAAAATATTACCAGCAATACTTTTTTGAAAAAATATTACCAGCAATACTTTTTTGAAAAAAATATTACCAGCAATACTTTTTTGAAAAAATATTACCAGCAATACTTTTTTGAAAAAATATTACCAGCAATACTTTTTGAAAAAATATTACCTGCAATACTTTTTTGAAAAAAAAATATTACCAACAATTCCTTTAGTTTTTTAAAAAAATATTACCAGCAATACATTTTTCAAAAAAATATTATCAGCAATAGCTTTTTGAAAAAAAAAACTATTACCAGCAATACATTTTTGAAAAAAATATTACCAGCAATATATTTTTGAAAAAAAAATATTATCATCAATACATTTTTGGAAAAATAAAATATTACCATCAATAAAAGTTTTGTCGGCATTAAATAATTTATTGAGGTTGATATGTCGTAAACCAAATCAAACTAAGCCAAACCAAACTTTTAAAAAATTGAGGCTTTTTTCCAGATGATCAACGAATCTTAATTAAACTATATATTCATTAAAATATAGTTATTTATTAAATGAATTACCCTTTCAAAAATTCTTATTAAAAAACCGAAAAGGATACTTCTACTTAGAATCAGAATACAGTTAAAATTTCTGCGACACATAATGAGGAAAGAAGGCTTGTTGAAATTAACATCCATGCGATATACTGAAGGCAAAACGACAGATGAATGGCAAAGAAGAGAGCAGGCAGTAATATGAGGGAAACACTATTTCTTAGAGTTCCAAAGGATAGGAAGTTGTGGAGACTCAAGATCATACGCCTATTGAAGTGACAGAGCGTATAAAAGGAGAACCAAATATACGAGAGAGAGGGAGAGAGAGATACAGAGAGACGTTTGAGGAAGAAGGACAATACAATTAGAGTGAAGAGAGTATAAAAAGCATCACATCCGCCCCCCCCAACTCCATCCAAAAAGAAAGAAAAAAAAAGAGAAACCGGAGATAAGGAAGAGTGTGCAGCGAAGGAACTGAATTTAGAATGGTGCTTGTTTTGCAATGGTTGTGTGAGCACAGAGGTGATGTGGAAAAAAATGGGCCTTCGGGACTACAGCTGCGAGAATTATCTGCTGTGTTAGGGGAATGCACATGCGCAGTGGGTGTGAGTTGGGAGGAACAGGGGAAGGGCTGTGGCACCAAAGTGATGAAAACGATGATGATGATCATGCTGATGTCTTGAAGGCCCCTAGCTGACGAGTGAAAAGATGCCGCTAATGAGATCTTCTATCGGTTCTATTGACACGTGATTGTTTACGTTAATCTCGCAATTAACGTTAACTGCCTCATTTCTTTTCCGTCACCCTGTCTGCACAATAATCATTCACGTGTGCGTACATACGCATGCGTATCTCTGACGGTATAATTTTAAAAATTAGTGTTTATCTCTGTGTGTAGTTAATTGTAGGTCTCTATATGTTGTGTCATTCAACTTTCTCTCTCTCGTTCTTTCTCTTTCTTTATTATATATATATATATATATATATATATATATATATATATATATATATAACTGTTGTGGATTCCGTGAATGGAATCCTGCACAAATAAATAAACAACGCCAGTAATTGAGATAGAAAAAATAAGTGTATTAAACGTAAGAATACAGACTTGAAGTGAAGATTAGTAGTTCAGGAATGCGGATTAGTAGAAAGTATATGTAAATGTCTCTCTAAGTAAAGCTGTAATCATCTATCTCTCTGGACTCTTGTATAACTCTCTGAGAACACCCTGTGTCTGTCTCCGTATCTCTCAACCTGTCTCAACGTATCTCAACGTATCTCTGTATTTAATATCCCACCCACGAATAATATTTGTGGCACAAGGCCGAGTTTAAAGTGGGTTTCTCCGAGCTCGTAGGCTCGGCCAAAAATATACCATTTGAACCCGCCTAGACGGGTTTAGGGTCTGTCTACCTCCCCGGACGAAACCTTGCCCTTCGGCAAAGCTTCGTCCGAGTTCCTCTCTGGCAAAGCAGAGAGTTCGACACACGTCGAGACTGTATCTCCACGTATCTTAACGTATCTCAGTATTTAATATCTCACCCACGAGGAATATATGTGACATAAGGCCGGGTTTAAAATGGGTTTCTCTGAACTCGTAGGCTCGGCCAAAAATATACCCTTTGAACACGCCTAGACGGGTTCAGGGACTGTCCACCTCCCCGGACGAAACACCGCCCCCAGGCAAAGCCCCGTCCGGGCCCCTCCATGGCAAAGCAGAATGCTTGACAGACGTCGCAAACAGTCAGATACTGCATCGAGACGTATCTCGGTATTTAATATCCCACTCACGAGGAATATATGTGGCACAAGGCTGAGTTTAAAGTGGGTTTCTTCGATCCCGTAGGCCCGGCCAAAAATATCCCCTTTGAACCTGTCTAGACAGGTTCAGAGCCTGTCTACCTCCCCGGACGAAACCTTGTCCTTCGGCAAAGCTTCGTCCGGGTTCCTCTCTGGCAAAGCAGAGAGTTCGACAGACGTCGCTGACAGTCAAGGACTGTATCGAGACGTATCTCAACAGCAGGTATTCCCCTGTCAGTATAAGTATACTTTGGACGAGTCCATCTCATGTAAAAAGGGGAGAGCCCCACAACAATAACCAAAAAAAACAAACCAATCGGCAAAACCTACATGAAAAACCCTACCAAAGACGAAAGGATGAAAAAACCAAAGGAAATAAAAAAGGCAAAAATGAAAAGTATAAAAAGAACAAAAACAGACACGAACCAACGTGGTCAATACCTCTACAGATTGAATTTAGGCAGAGAGGTACCCCGAAGAATCACGAAACAATGCTTAGGGACTCAGAATCAGGTCGTAACTCCGAGTTTCACCCTATTATGATCTTCAGACAATACAGTCTTTCTTTCATGACGTAATAATTTGTTGAGGAGAAAATCGACCCTGAGCTGCAAGTGACCTTTTGAAATTAAAATATTGATATTTCAAAACTCTTCGCGAATTTGTAACAGGTTCAGGAAACCCATAATTGTTAAAACAGCACCGTATTTGACGGCATGTAAGACGCACGGGTGTATAAGACGCACCCCAATTTCAGCAGGGCAAATCAAGGAAAAAATTAGTAATTAGTAAAATTAATAAAATTATTAGTAAATGGTACAGCCTAGGCTATATTTATAAGGTATTATTTTGGTTAAACAAGCCATGATTACTATTAAACGAAATATAATAGGAAAAAATAACACGAGCTTATAAAACTTTATTATAATCTTTATATGATCTGTAAAAGCTGCGTCTTGTCTTATAGGAATAATTAGGATATAAAAATTCTGATTGTATTTCTACCAATTCAATCGGAAATTATCGCAAGAAAAATATTAATGAAAATAGATATATTTTACAAATATATAATTTGAATTTATTGCAAATAATTTTAGTGAAACAATGAACTAATATTAAACGTGATGAAATTAATATAATGAATATTATTAATGATAACACTTTTAATCTACATAATAGCCTTTTAAATAATGACAATAGGTATATGAAAGGTACTCTAAAGTCTAAGCTAATAGGAGTTGCCAGGTAGCTAATTTCGGCCGACTATCGCGAGTTTTAAACCTACATATGGCATATAAGACGCAGAGGAATTTTAAAAGATATTTTTAGTTAAAAAAAGAAAGAAAGTGTGCCTTATACGCCGTCAAATACAGTAAATATTGTTGAAGTTGAAGGTAGAAAAGCGGTGTCATGGGAAAACCGTTCATTTGAAATTCCGTCTTATTGCGGGTACGATTATTCATGTTTGCCAAAAAAAAAAAAATGAGTGAGAATGAAAAGTATCAAGAAGACAGATGAAGGAAAGAAAGAGCGTGAGATAGAGAGAGAGAGAGAGAGAGAGAGAGAGAGAGAGAGGGAAAACTGAGGGTAGAAATGAGAGCTTGGACGAAGGAGAGATGAGGATATAGGAGAAAAAAAAAGATGGTAAAAGAGAGAACGAAAAAGACAACTCAAAAGGGGAAAAAAGAGAAAGAAAGAACAATGCCAGTCAAAATGAAATGGGTAAACAGGGTATAATTTTTTCTGTTTCTGCTTTTCCTGTCATTTTTCAAAATTACATCATTCCCTTTCTTCGTCGCTATAAAATCTTCCCTCTTCCATTAGCCAGATTTTCTTCCGCCATATGCATTTCTCAATATATTGTGTTTGTTATTGATTGTTTTAAAAGTTTTGTTAATCGATGTTTGTTCTTGTGCCTTTTTCTTTTATGTATGATAATATTTCTGCTTTATTTGACCTCGTCAAACAACCCACAGCTGCTCTCTTTCTTCTCGCGAGATTACATATTTGGTAAAATTATGACACATATAACCCTCAACCGAACGCTGCAGTGATTTTTCCCCTTGAAAAATCCAATGCGCTTGACATGTTGCCCAGGGTTGAAGCATCCATTCTCAAATCCTGTCACGAGCAGGTCTAGTATATTGTACCAGTGTCAAAAATGGGTGTGCGTGGTTAGACACTGCCGCACATGAACAGTAAAGTTTCTGTACGTTTTCTCTCTTTCTCGCACACGTGTGTGTGTGTATTACATAAAAAAGCAGAAAGAAAAAACGTGGATACTTAATGAGGCTGCCAAAGAGGATGATGCAGCGAGAGATGTTTCTTGGTGATCGTGTCAGTCAAATCCTCCTTCCTGTACAGTGAAGGAAGACGGAAGGACAAAAAAGACGGTTGGGGGGGAAGAGAGAGAGAGAGAGTTAAACGGATGTACAATAACAAGGAACGGTCGATACTTAATTCCGGTGACAACATCTGCTGCGTGAACGCTGACCCCACACCAATGACCAGCATATTGTTGTTTTTAACGGCAAAAGCCCTGACAATAAAGATATTGAAAAAACAAATAATAATAAAAATAATAATAATAATGATAATAAAGCATTTAATATCGAACTCTCTAACCGACCAATGTCTGGATTTATTAATGTTCATTTGTTTGTGTGCTCTGTTTAAATTTCAGATAAGTGCCCCTTTCGATTCGCGATCTGAAAGTTAATTTTCTTTCTATTTTTTTTATTTTGGTTGTTAAATCCACTTAACTTGACGCTCCAAGTTTTATATTCTGACTAGTATCTTCATCTTGGTTGTTATACTCACAACATTTTGTCTATTTCAAACACTGTCTTTCTTCAGTTTTAAGGTAGCTAACGGCACTAAGCCAAACGTAAAGAATTTTAAAATGTGTCCCAAGAAAAGAGTATATTGAAAATCAGTAGGGAAAATCTTTGCATTCATCTGGGTTCGAAAATCGACCACTTACTCCGATGAGGAACAAATCAATATTGTTTGTTTTTTTTTTATAATAATTTGTATTTTATTAAACCTTTGTGGGTTATGTAAAGCCGAAACATATGTCGGCTTCTAGGCGGTCTCGTAAATTTCATCAATATTGCACTCACAAGCCAAAATCATCTATCAGACATAGTAAGGATAAAACTTGCTATGGTATCATCAGGATCTGTGAGAAAAGAATACTGAACACTGATGGTGAGGCGCACTGATATTAATCAAGGCTTAGATTACTCTCTCATAAGACCAGAAAACAGCTCTCTGTGACGACTGAATTAATTTCAGTATAAATCATTTGCCATACAAGTTTGCTGAACACTTATAAACAAAACAACTACATATGAGGGTACCCAATATTCACTAGTAACAGACAATAATTATATCATATCGAGGCGCTCTCATCATCTGAAATACGAAGTCCCTAAAAGTGAAGCACTCAAGCTCTACTTCCCAGCTCCAAGATATTGCTCTCGTCTGTTAAAATGTTCCTCAAGTCTCGTAGCTGTCATCGCTCTTTCCATTAATGATGGGAGTTTTCTTCCTAACCTTTTATTTGAAGCAGGTGGTAAGTCAATATCTTCGAATTATATGTGACATCACTTTAATGTTGAAAACAAGATGTTTAGTTAAAGCTATAGTGAAAGAAGGTGTGAGGGGAAAAGTGTAAGATTGATATGAACGGACTTACACGAAGTTTATTTTTTAAGGTTTATTTCATTTGTAATTTTCATATTAGGTTGAGTCATAAATAATTTCCATGTTGGGAAACAAATTACAATGATTGATGTATGACACTAACTAACCGTTACTTAAATATATAAGTGATGATGGTCACATCGGCGTGGTGTAATGGTGAACAAGCTTGGCTCGCTAAAACAGTTACGACTGAAAAGTGAGTTTGATCCTCACTGGGTGCCCCATACTTTCGGCTTTGTGTCACATCTAAGCAACGCTTAGAAATCACTATAATAAGTGATGAAAAGTGGGTCTCATACAGCAATATGCAACGAAAAATGCAGTTGATTAAAAAAGGTAAAATCCACACAACAGATACTAAGAGCCGAGTTCTATGGAAGGAAATTAGTTTTCTGCGTGCGGTTGGGATCATCGGAGCATTTAGAGTTCTTAAAAAGCAATGAAGCATTAAATGCACATTTATACCTACAACAGCTGCAATGTGTCTATAAAAGTTTAATTGAAAACCACCTTAGATAGTCAACAGGAAAAATGTTCTCCTCCATTACAACACTGCATATCTTAAAAATAACACAGGCGAACTATTCTGCCTGTTCTACCCGACAGAACATATTCATCTGCCTTTGCATTACGCCATTATCACCTTTTCGATGGCTGCACAAGTCTTTGATGGTGAAAGACTTTTCTAATGAAAACCAAATTCAAGAATTCTCCGAACAATTTTTCACATCAAAATCTTTGGAAGTCTACTGAAGTTATCAAGATGGTCCCTGATAAGTAACACGAAGTCATTGTAAATAACAGTGAATATATAATTAAACCAAAATGTAATTATATTTTACTAGAAAGACCCGTGAAAATTTCACCGTGTTCCTATTTGTAATTTTCTTAATTTTTAAGTTAATGATTGAATAAGCTCATGGCGAGTTCTACGACGATAAATTATCCGTAACGATTCTTCTATCAGATCGTTAAATATATGAGCTTAGCAGCGTTAACAAAATATTGCAAGTAGAGTCAAAATATGAATGTTGGCAGTTATTTTAAGAAGTGAGTACAAATGAAAAAAAGAAGCTTTTTCTGAATATGTCAGACGGTATCAATGGCCTCTGTATAAAGGTCTAGATCTTATAAGGTTATTATAAGTTGCCTTTTAAAATCAAAGAGAAAAAATGTTGGTGATCAAGAATTAATGCTAGTGTAACAAAGAGAATAGAATTAATGCATTTTAAATTATTTTATTAAAAAGGGCTTCGAAAAGCAATGATAAAAACCATGGTGAAGAAACGAATAAAGGAATATTATAGCATTTCATTGAGCAGTAAGTTATTGCCTGATTAACATAGCTAGGGGATAAAAACTATATAAGTGTCTAAGCAGTAAGGAGAAAATACTATACCCGAGTATTGTATTCTAGCCGGTAGATATCTGCCAATAATATTTGCAAAAGCCTCAGGAGGGCACCCCAAAGTATTCATATAATGCAAATTTCAGATTTTGAAACTTTTAAATTGTTTTAATATTGTAGATTATTCAAGTGGAATATTCTAGAATGTTCCAATAATTTTGTCATTAGTTATTTTCAGACTTAAAATACAAACAGAACATTATGTAATTGATACTCGTGCAAGGTTATTATCATGGCAAGAGGTAACAAAAATTGACAAATTCGCAAAAAGAACTGATTGTTAAGCTCTGGAAAGAAGGTAAACGTTACTGGAAAATCTCAGACAATGTGAATATTCCATTTACAGCCATTACTTCATTCCTTGCAAGGTACAAAAAAAATCAAAATTGTTGAAAACTAAAGAAGAACAGGCGCTCCCCGGAAGACTTCTCTAAGATCTTCGAAGATATTAATGCGTCACTTTAAACAAAATCCAATGGTTACCCGTCAAGAGTTGCAGGATGATTTGCATTCATCAGGAATCTGTGTCACTAAACAGAAAATAAGCAATGAAATTCATAGGACAATCGTAAATCATACTCCCCTAGAAAAACTCTACTGCTATTGAAAAGACGCAGAGATGCCAGTCGAAAATTCGTTCATGAACATAAGGATAAGGAAAAATCGTCTTGGGAAAGAGTATTATGGGAAGACGAAACTAAAATTGAGTTGTTTTAACATAATTCTAGAAATCATATATGGAGGAAAGATGTCGATGACTTCAAACATAGTTTCAACAGTAGAATTTGGTGGTTGCATTGTCATGGTTTGGGGACGTTTTCTGCAAGATACCCGACAACATATAAATAATAGATGGTAGAATGAATGCCGCAACATATCAAAATATTTTGGAAGGAAATGTAATGATTTTTGTTGAAAATCTTGAACCTTCTCCAGATTGTATTTTCCAACAAGATAATGATCCTAAACACACCACAAATTCTATGAAGAAATGAGTTGCTGAAAATAATGTCAATATCTTGAAATGGCCAAGTCAGTCCCCAAATTAAAACCCAAACGAGAATCTGTGGCGTTATACAAAAATTCAAATCCAATCGAGAGCTCCAACATCCCGGATCTGAAGACCATATGCGAAGAAGAATGGCGCAAAATACCAACAAAAATTTTCAAATCATTAATTGAGAACTACAAGAAGATTTTGGTTGCAATGGCTATTCTATAAAGTATTAGATGAAGATATTCTTTTTTTGCATTGCACGAATACTTTTTCACCCATCAAAAAAGATAAATGGGATTTATTTCTATTAAATCAATTTTTTTCCCATTTTCTATACATATTTAATTGTTATGCATCTGTGCAGAGTTAATCATATGAAAAGTATGATTATTCATTAGTTGGAAATACAATGAATTAAAAAAATTATGTGTACGAATATTTGTCACCCTCCCCCCACTGTATGTATAGGATTATTGAAAAGTAACACCTCATTTAAAATACTTATAATTTATTTATTAATTTTAATTTTTACAAGAAATGGCAATGAGGCGAAAACACTTAGCATGAGGTTTTATTTAAAATTCGATATTGGCACCAGATGACGTTATCAGATTCTCGAGTCGCCCAGGAATCGCGTCATTTGATTTCACCAGGAACTCTTGTAGTATGGAAAACATAACTTCTTGTATTCGCTCTTCAAGTTGTTCCAAAGTCTTGCTTTGGTATCGTAGAGTTGCTCCTTTAATCAACCCAAAATCAAAAAAAAAGTCACAGTGTGTGTTTCTGTGTGTGCGTGCATGTGTGTGTGCGTGTGTGTGTTAAAAATATAGTTTAAATTTATGTGTATATAAGGGCTGTATCTAATCCTAATATAATGTGACTCACCGGGAAATCCGAATGATGCATTGTTGGTAATGCGTAGAGTATTGGTGTCTTCGGGTGATGTTTGATGAGTTTTAACCAAGAATTTTTCTCGAAAAATCTAATGAAACTTCACTTCCCCGCAGATATATGAAAGCCCGGAAAGAAATATGAAATAACAAAAACATTCATATATTCTTTCCGACAACGGCGGTGGAATTATAATTATGGACAAACATTTATCAACAAAAAAAAATGAGTCTCCTTCCCGAAGATGATAATATTTAGGAAAAAAAAATGAACATAATAAAGATAAAAACTTAAAAAACAAAACCAAGAGATTATTGAAACATGAAGACAGTTCCTGATTAAAATTCATGAAACATCACCCGAAAACACCATACTCTGCGGATTATCAAAAATACGTAAATCAGGCATCCTGATGAGAACCATTATAAATTAACTCGGACATTAGCCAAAATTTTAACCCCACTTCTTGATACAATTGTCGCTTGATGTATTAAAACATCTGGTGATATT